CTCTCACACACACACACACACACACACACACATTGTGCCTCCTTCACCACCGGCGCTCCCCCCTTTCCCCCCCCTCCTCCACCACCACCACCACCACCAGCAACTGCCATCACTGCCACCACCATCATCATCATCACCGCTACCACCACCATCATAGCCAGCGCCCTCGCCGACATCTACTACATCATCCCCTCACTCATCTACCTCTTTTTCTTCTTCCTCCTCTTCCCCTTCTCACTCTTCTTCTTCCTCCTCCACCTTGCATGCCTCCCCTTTGTCACGAACTTCATCATCAACACGTTCATGGTCAGATCAGCCATCACAGGCACAGAGGCCAAATTGGCGGAGGCATCCATCGTCAGATCGACCGTCGCAGATACCTCTCCGGTGGAGACGTTCCCACAATGTGGCGATGACTTCTTCAGTACTGTAGGCGTGTCTGTGCACCAGACACAGGGTGCAGCCACCTGTGCAGCATTTGCACGACCGGCAGCCACTCTCACCACAAGTGTGGCTGATCTGCTTCCGCTTCCTGCATCTGACCTACCTATTTCTCATCCACATAGCCCCGCTTGCTCCCCCGCCCCAGTTGACAATGATCCGCCTTCTGATCACTTGATGGAACCCCCGACTGAAGATGATCTCTCTAGGGAATGTACGTTACATCATCATCATCAGTTTGTCATCATTAGATGCTTGCTCTTTAAGGCATTGTTTGCCGTTCACATCAGCAGGTGAGTTGGTCGTCACCATCATCCTCATCATCATCATTTTTAGGGTGCTTTTCGTCGTCATCAGCAAAATCCAAAAAAAAATCATCTACCTTTCTTCATCATGACTTTCAGAAATTTCCGATTGGATCGTTCCCGGAGGGTTAAACGGTAGGAAGGGGGAGGGGGGAGCTCTACCTTGCAGGGGCATCACAAGGCGGGGGGTGAATGTCTCAAAGAAGGTAGGGGCGGAGTAGGGGGTTGCCCTATTCTGGGGCAGGGGCTGGTGTGTGGGTCAATATCAGTCCCGGAGGAGGCAGAAATGGGCAAGGGGCCGGGGGGGGATGCGTTAGGTGGGAACTGCGTGCTCCTGGGGAAAGGCGGGTAGAGGGTTGGTCCTATATTGCGGCCGAGGGAGAGTGGGTGACTCACCTCGGCGGAGGCAGTGTAGGCCTGAGGGGGGAGGGGTAGGGGGAGGGAGGGGCGATCTTTCTTGAATAAGTCTATCATCTAGACTAAGTTTACTATTTCTTTTCATTTGGTTTGCCGATCAAGGAGGTTGTAGGAATAGGTGCTATCTTACAATTCATCTGTGATCCTGCGAAGGGTGGTTGAAAATTCCGTGGCCCTCGAAGACCGATGCTGGAGCAACGCTGGCCGGAGCCGGAGCCAGGTGGCGCAACTCTGTGACCTAGCTTAGTGGGTGCGTGAGGCCTGGTAGAGAGCTCTGGGGGGCTGTGTGCGGGGGCAGTCTCAGTGGTCATCGGGGGTCATAACTGGAGCAATGCTGGCCGGTGCTGGAGCAAGGTGGTGCAACTCTGTAACCTAACCTGATGGGAGCATGAGGCCTGGAAGAGCTTCGGTTCATGCTGAAAACAGTCGTGCTGGTGGTGGTCGTAGGTGGATTGAATAGGTTTCACCTATCTGATTTGTCGGTGGTTCTTATGAATGTCTTAGGACTCTAGGGACTCTTAGCAACCCATCCTAGGCGGTATTGAAGCGGTTATACTCAGTGACCTGCGGCTGTTCGATGCCAGAACGACGCTGGCCGGTGCTGGGGTGTTGCCCTGTAACCTGCTGATGCAGGAGCGTGAGGCCTGGTAGAGAGATCTGGGGATGCTTTGGGGTGGGCATCCCAAGGGACAGCCAAGGTTTGCTGCTGGGACGACGCTGGTCGGAGCTGGGGCGAGTTGTGTTGCCCTGTAACCCAGCAGGGTGGGGGCATGAGGCCTGGAAGAGCTCAGCAGGGAGTAAGACTGTGTTCGAAAGTCTTAGAAGGGCTTGTTAGGAATCCTGCGGGTTGTGAGCATTCGTAGGACCTCTGTGGCAGCCTACTGCATGAGTAGTTCTTTAATAGGTCATTAGATATTCACAGACTGATCTCAGCCGAAGCCCGGTAATGGCCCCAGTATCTCAAATGATCTCAAATGTTCTCAAATGTTCTCAAATGTTCTTAATGATCTKTACAATTTGATATGGGACGCTGGGCCCGGTTCCCAGCACAYRCTSCYCCCCMCRAAWARATTGGARMMTTTKTTTTAMAAAAAAAAAAAAAAAAAAAAAAAAAAAAAAGGAACCAATGGAGTTTATAGTACTTAACTTTATACAGCCGGAGGAATCTGACAGACACAGTCAAGACCACAACGAATCTCCTCCTACAGTGCAATCTGCAGAATCGAATGAACTTCCCCTGCCGCACATCCTGCACAATCAGATGATCTCATGGTGCTACAGCGAGGCCACTGTGCGTACTATGCCATTGGTGTATGTCTCCTCTCTTGCAATTGGTTCTTGCAGACAGTCGACTGGATAGAAGAAGAGCACCGTGCTGCCTTCCCAGAGCACAACAGTACTGCACCTGGCGTGAATGTAGAGGTCCTGTCTATATGGCATTTACGGGGAGACGACTACAACTCCAGCCTGCTCCACAGAATCACATGTCAGGCATGGATCCAGATATTCATGCGTACATTCTGCATCGTCCAGGACCCCACGTCATTTCATTGTTGTAACCTTTGCAGATAACTCATGGACCCTATGGGACAATGGCGGTAGGGTGCACACGACAGGAAGTATTACCTCTTTCTATCGCCACAAGCGGTAGATTCGCACACGGTGCGGCTCTTCCATCAGGAACAGTATGTCGTGGTGCACTCCTAAGCACTACAGCCTCCGGAGAACAATCCCGCTGAACCTCCTCCTTTCCCGGTACATCGTCAGGAAGCGTCCCCTCCCTACGTAGATCGGACAGATTCGGACGGACGGATTCTACCACGAACTATGAAGGGACCTCTCCAGAGGATGGTGGCTGTGCCCTCCCATTGTGTCATGACTGATGTCAGCTACAGTTCGGTTAGCATGCACACAGCATAGTCTCTGCTCCGAAGACTTTGAAGGGATGGTCACTGCCAGCCTCTGCCGCGAAAACTGCGATCCTTTGTCTTGTACTTATTCCCTCCCCTCCCCCCCCTCCTCCCCCCCGCCCGCTCTTCTCCTAATTACTTGCCCAGCGTGCCGTCATGGCCTTGATCTGCCATGCTTTAAATAGATGCGAACATCAGCAGGCTTCTTTCCTGCTGACACGCCAGGGACATCCTCTCCTAGCATGTCCCACATGCAGTATTGGGCATACAGCTACTGCGACCGCAGACAGATTTCCTTCTTCCTTGCCAGACGAACGACCGATGCAGCAGCCTGAGGAGGAAAATGGACTACCACATGAACCGCCTACAGAGCGCTGTACTAGAAGGTTGTCATCACCAGGGCGAGCTGTTGCATACCAACTCCTGCAGCAGCTGAACACCCTGGCTTGGGATCAATCCCCGTCGTTGTCTGCCCATAGAGAGGGAATAAACACTGGGGAAACCAAAGAAATCTACTCAATCCCGCTCTGTGACGACCCACCTGAAATTCGGCTACCATGTGGTTCACATGCCTTATGCTGTGAGGATTATGAAGGGATAGCCCTTGCGAGTTTCCGTCTTCATATGTATGATGACGGTCAATCCTGCACTCGTGCAAGGCACTGTGACATGTCATCTCCAATTTGTAGATGGACGAGAACGGCAATGCCTCGACAAATGGGGTTGGCGTGCCTCTGTGTTCCTAGCACGTAGGAGCCACGTGGCCTGTCACATCTGTCTACGCTGTGCCATTCGATGCAGCAACTGCGACTGCGAGAATTGGACGCTGTGCTTCCACAACAGTCCACACCCGAACCGTTCCTGTCCGGTCTGTAGGGGTGGCCACTTACCATAGGCAACGGCTGCGCTTATGCAACCCAAACACTGACTGGCCCCCTTGTGCCATTTTTCTAGAGTCAGACAGCTGTGAATTCGTCATATCCGTCTTCTGTGCTTAGCCACTCCACTTCGTCCCCTACCTACCCCTTCTCTATCCCCTGCCCCTCGCTCCCTAAAGAACGCCGCCTCCTACCCCTTCCCTTTGTCCCTCCCCTTG